AAAGAGGATGAAAGCGGTTTCGAAAAAAAAAAAAAAAAAGAAAAGAGGAATCGTTTTTATTTATATATTTGGTTTTTCAGGTGAAAGCGAGGCAGGGCTCGACGAAGGTGTCGAAGAAGGTTGCAGCAGCTTGGAACCGTTGTCTCAGGAGGATTGCGCCAGCAACTACAGTGCATCTAGCTCGAGACGCGTTAGAAACCAACCGGAGTCATTATCTCTCACGGTAGGCGATCCTTTTACGGAGGCAGAATCTCCGGAGAACTCGCAAAAGAAACGAAAACTCTTCCGGAGAAACGTTCATTCTTTCTGAATCGTTTCAGGTCGAGCGTTTCGAGACGATCGTTGTTACTCGTTTATCGTTTGACGACTCAAGATTCAACCACCGTTTCTCCATTTTCCAAATTTTAAAATCGTCCCGAATGATTTATGAAATAAAATAAGTTTAAAATTTCTCATTTTTTCTCCCTAGAAATAACAAACTTTATTCGTATTAAAAAAATATGAATGAGGCACTTAGAACTGTATCTATGTTAAAAATTATCAAAGTTTTGTAAACGAGAACGCATTTAAATTTTAAATACGTGAAAAAAGAAAATTTGAAATATATAAGTAGTTTTTTATAGAATTTCGAGATTAGGTTTGTAGGTGACCGGGTGATCAACCGATAAGCGAGTTGCTCGCGAATGATAAGCGACTATATAACGAAATAAGATCATGATGTTTCGTGTTGAAATACACGTGGCAATTTTAACTGATAAAAGAAAATCAAGAAACATATATAAAATAACAAGAGTTGAAAATATCAATCCACTCTCTTTCATATCGATTTATTAAAATGTTTCGCTCGTTTCAGATAGAAGAACGAATAGAGGAAGTGACCACAACTTATGCATCCGACGAGGATTCCAGGGAATCTCTCTTGCCCGTCAAGAATGCCCATCGAGTGCCATTTCCTGAACTTGGAATGGACATCATCGATCGTAAGCGTAATTTAACTTAAATCCGTATTTATGTTCAAATATGCTGATTTGCTGACGGTCATTTCCCTCCATATGCAAAAATATGTGGACGATACTCGAGTGTGCGATATTTTTGCTGATCGTACGGAGGAGCGTTTTGCATATTCCAATCGGTCAGTCAGCTATTGTCAGTGTTATTAATGATCGTTCGTTAACGTACCGTTTCTCCATTAACGATTCCAAATTGCACAGAAGAATATTACAGTAACGACATTACAACTTACTTTTTTTTCATTTTCGAATCGAATGATCGAGGATCAAAAAAAAAAAAAGATATATATTTTGTATTTATTTTTAAAGTTTTGTACGTTGGTATTTCTATAAAAATTGCATTCTGCAATTGTAATCTATTAAATAAAAGAAATTTATGTAATACAATTTGAAATAAGATAAAGAGTGATTCTTGGAAAGAATTAATAAATTTTATAAATTTACAAGCTGCAATAAACGATATCATATAATAAAATACAATCAAAATATTAGAATAACCGTACAATTTATAAATAATATAAATAAGTATATCCTATTTATCCAAGATTGCACAGTTTTATCGGATTGACAAAATGCGTGTTTACTCAAACTCGTTATCCATTCCAGCTTTTCAATCGGAGGACAGCCAAGACGAGATCGACACACCGACCAACGTAGATTTAGTATTCCCGGTCGAGTCTTGGGAAGAGAATTGGCTGTTCCAAAAGAAGAAGGTTCAGACACAGCAGGCTGACTCCGTGGCCATGTTGGTACCGAATCCTAGCGCCGATTATAAGGCTCTGATCGGTGACAAGGACGCGGAGGATACCTCCGACTTGTCCGAATGTTCCTCGGCGCAGGCGGACGAGGACATCGAGAAAGAGCTGATGGAGGCGATAAGCAACGTGGTGCCGCGAACTCCAGATGAGAAAAAGTTCGGAGAGAATGATGTTCTGGACCAATATCCAATCGTCGATTCGTCAAAAACTGACATTCGAGGCTTGAAAGATCGAAGGATCGACGAGGATGGTGAGAGACGAGGCGACGAGGTTGAAGCCAAAGAGATCGAGGTAGAGTGTCGTTCCAAAAGTGTGAACGAGAAACCTGTTCCAAAAGCGGGAAATTTAAACGAGAACGGGGCAAAGGATGAGACGAGAAATTTGATTAACGAGGAGAGTTCGATCGAATTCGATTGCTCGATAGAGGGGAATGAACTGTTCGCGGATAATTTATCGAATCGCTCCAAACCTTTTGCAATTTCCACGACCGATGAAAACTTGCTAGACTTGCCAAAGACACCGACATCGACGCCGAGAATCTCCATGGTGGAACTGAGAGAATTGGAGGGAAGCGATAACTTGGAATCAATCGATTCGCGGGAAAAGAACGTTCTGAATTCGTTGGAATGCGCGAAAAAGAAGTTGATGGCCGTGAACGACGTGGAAGAAGAGGTATTGGACGAGGAGGAAGCAATGTTCGCTCAACAGAAAGTCGACTTTCATGGTAAATAATTCAATAGACGAATTCATAATTCAATATGTAAGAGTTTATATTTATGATTAAATTGTGGATTTTATTTTTGCTCGCGAATATTCAGCCGAGGATATTCAGGAACAAGAAAGCGAATACACGGAGCATTATGATATCGCGACCCAAAGGCACTTGGATAGCTTGACGAAGAGTGAACCGTCCGATTTTTCGCCACTGATAGATTCGACGATGGAAAATGAGGGGAGGTAAAGAGATCCATAAATTTTTTTAAATTTTGTGTTTCATTTAGATATTTCGAGCATCGAGCTCTCTTTCTCGAGCCAATTCTCAAGTGAATATTTTAAAAGTTAGATCGAACAATTCGAGATTTCTCGATTGTTTCGTGTCGAAGCTAGGTTCGTTTCGTAACGTCACCGTTAATGGTCTGCAAAACGGCGTAGAACTTTCTTCTTACTGATGATACTGTAACAATCCTTCAACATTCCATTGTGCAGCAAATGCCGAGAGGCTGTGGCGTCCGCCAAAGCTGAATCGGCTTCGCATCAGTCCCAGCAGAGCAAGAATTCAGACGAAGAGGTCCGACTTGCTACTCCTCCGAGACCA